AATTTTAGATACCTACATTCAAAACTTTTTAGTGCCCTCTTAAAACCTTAAATGGTACATTTTGTTTGAAAACGCCTGATCAATACAGAACAATACTATCTTGGATTTCCGGTCCATCCGGCAATTCTATTTTGGGATCTGAGTGATGTATAATAAACAAAAATTGAACACAACTAATAAAGATTAGTAGCCAACATTAATATTCAGTTTCATGTTAATTGATTTCATTCACAAATATTCCATCAAGATTATCGACATTATGACGTTATATTAGAAATCTCGTTTCGACTACGCATCTGCGTGTCAGAAGGATGTAGGAAACGTGTCTGTTTTCTAGTTCATGCATGTCTAAGGTTGAATTCGCGTTTAAAGCGTAGGATTATAAGGATTAAGTACTGAATATTTGATTAGCGTTTTAAACCGAAAACTAGGAGATTCTATTGTACCTTCATATATTCAGCTATTTCTCCGCAAATTATAGGTAGATTTTTAAATTTTATTTCTGCGGTGCAAAATTTGGTAAATATTAACAAAATTAGCTGAAAATTATGGATTATAATCAGGAGCTCAATGGCGCAACGATTAGCGCGTTTGGTCTGCGATACGATTGTTAAGCAAAGAGGATGGATGACCAAAAATGTATTATATTGAACTCCACCGTAATTAGGAAGGCATGTTGAGCGGTTGATCCTGGCTGCATCTGCAGTTGTTAATAACCATCAGCACGGGACCCGCGTAGTGGGTCGTGGTCCAATCTCCCTATTCGATTTTGGTTCGATTACATCTATAGCGAAGGCCAGAGTCCCAGCGGTAGGGACATTAAAAGACTGCTGATGATGTCAGAGTATACATAACAATTCAATAGAATTTTCACTAACATATGGTCTCAATTTTGTTTTTTTTTGTTATGTATCTTATGTAGCATTTACTTATAGCATTTTTCAAGAGTGAATAGGTTGCCTCTGGGCAAGCTCGTCCCACCGTAGATCTCATCTATGTATTTAGGCTAGCTTGAGGTCAAGAGCGAGCCCAATGTAAATAAATAAAAAATAAAAAAATTACATAATTAGCCCAATTTTTATCAATATCAACGATTGTCTTATTCATAAAGTAGGTAAAGTAAAGAATAAACGTCATTAATAAAAAATTTTCGTCATATAAGACAGGGATTTCGTTGATGTCTTCAGTTAGTAGAACCGTGAGTTGTAAAAAATCACGACAGACTCATAAATAATATTTGTATTCAAGATTTCGAATAAAACAAGCATTGAATCAGCGACTGGTCGTTTAGATTCCACGAATTAGTATCTATTTTAGAGTATTCTTTAATAAAAAATTGCCTGCTAGTTCGTCCACATACATTATGATGCTTATAATGTAGCTTCCTATAGGTGAAACCATTTTCTTCTCTTCATAATCTTACTATATATAAGGCGTGAAGATAGGTAGACCTATATATAGGTAGATAGACCGAACCAATTATATTTATTTAAATTCTATACCCGTATCTATAGTCGAGAGAAGTAATTCTCGATAAGATGTCATAATTTAAGCAGATATTTTTACTAATTAATCAAGAATTTGAATGAAGTAGAAACTATTAATAGTGAGAGCACTATTATTATTAACTATTAATAACGCCTTACTTCATTTGAATTCACGTCTATTAATGAAATTTTTTTTACTAAAGTTATGACATTTTCACAAGTGATTATTTCTCTCGACTATAAGATTATACTAACAATCAGTATTATTATTTAACTTTAACATTATTATCGTTATACTATACAACAATTATTCTTTTCCTTACAGTCATTAATTAATAGATTGTCAAATTGTTTCAAATGGTATTTATAATTAGAATATTGACCAATAAAGCGTGATGGGTGATTTATGAATTACTCAAATAATACTTGCTGAAATTAGATATCTTAATGAAAGTAATTTTATGTTTATATTTCAACTTTCGGTACCTATAAGAAAGCCTTTAATAGTAACTGAAAGACAACGTATTGTGGACAAAAGTGTATTATTATACCTAATTTTTTTTTTATGTACGGACTTCATATAACAGAGGGTGTTGGAAATATAATTTATCATTTATTGTATTACGTGTCTGCAATTCTGTAATGATATCAAAGACGAATAAAAGTCAAGCATAACGCTGCCACAGCGTAGAGGTTCAATTAAATAACCCTTTGAAATACGTTTTATTTGATCGAATGTCTATGCTGTAACAGCGCTGTGGTCGATTTCGAGTTAGACACTGAATTTTTCACAGAATAACACTGTATACGGTATATGTACACCCACAGTTAACCTTATTACGTCAAAATGTCTTTTTATTCAAATGCGTCATTTTGGTTAAAGAAGAGCGATTTTGTATATAAAAAGAGGTTTTATTAAATGCAAAAAAAAGTAAATATACCACTATCCAGACGCCCTAGACCATATATAGAAATCGACATACAAGGCCTTATTCAATGCTTACATAATATGAATGGCTTTTATATTTGATATTTCCTGAATGGTAATTTTCCTTTTATCTTGCAAATCGAACGTTTACGTGGAAGTAACTGTCGTAGCCGTCGACACTATAGAATAATAATTTAATAACGCCACATGAATGAGAACGGTTGTTGACTGTTAACTATAGATTTACTGAGTGCTGGTCATATATTCATTGAAATAAGATGGGACACTTATAAAAACATTGCTGATTTTCTGTTGGCGTAATAGTTTTAATACTGTCAAACTGCAGGAATGAACTTATACTATACTTGTACATATTTCCTGGTTTAGATTTATAGCTATACTAATATTATAAACATTAAAAATTTGATTGTTTTTTGCAGCGACTCCTTTCACCTATGGGTTGGTAGTCTATAATTTACGCGTGCGAATTCGCGGGCAAATACCTAGTTAATATTATAAAGAGGAAGGATTTGATTGTTTGCCCAGAATAGGCTTTGAAACTGCAAGATCGGTTTTAATAAGTTTTTCACCTACAGAAAGCTATATCATGTGTGGGTGACATAGGCTATAATATAAACCGTTAAGGCGTTACTTATATTTTAAAAGGTCAAATAATGTGACGTGTTTATTTTATGAGAAGCCTTTATTTTTATTATAGCGAACTGAAAGTTTTATTAAAATTACCACATCGATCATAAACTAAACAGAAATTGCCTAATCAACAGTAAAACATGTAAATCCATTACGCGCTTTACGAGGAGATAAAAACCTAATAGAGTAAGGGCGAGAGGCGGAGAGTTTAAGAGACTTTAATGTATTTTCATGTTTTCCGGGTAGCTAAAGTGATAGGCTTTAGCTGCCCGGAAAACACGAATAAAGTTACAACCTGTTTGACATCTAGCACTAAATCAGCACTCGATATGTCGCCAATAAAAATACAATCAAGAGTTGTCGGGCCGGCCCGGAAGACCGTCATCCGGCAACCAGACGACGATATGACCGTTTTTGGTAGAGCCCTCGGTAACTTATGCGCGCGTACTTGATAATTGATCGATTCACGGAAACATAGTTTAATATGGAGTGTGCGATTCGAAGACTGCAGTTATATGGTAACTATGGTTACTTGAGTTACCATAATAAATTTGCTACACCTACTTTGATATTTATTCAGTTGGTACGTTACTATGTCATCTAATATCTCTTTATAAGTAGATATTGTACCGAAAAAGTATTTAAGAAATTAAGGAAGATCAGTCCGACCTTTTTATTTCCTTAAATCATATCAAAGAAAGGAAATATGAGCCTTGTTGAGGTAGTCCTACTATTAGTTATTCATGTCTAGACTACAGGTAGAGTATAGCTCTGACAGAAAATGAATTGGCAACGGTAGAGTTGAATAAAAAAAACATTATTAGTACATAGAATCATAGTAACAAAAGTGACTCATAAGAAAATAATATCGATTGTATCATAATAGGTATTTTTTCGGATTATGAGAGTTGTTTGTTTAAAGCCGGATTTAGTTAAATCATGAGTACGTTGAATTCTAAGCTAACACTCTATGATCTGAAGATTAAACAGTCTTATTCTGTAATCTGCTTTGGTAGGTACTCGACACATTCGAGTGCATGCATTATTAATTGCAAAGCATCACGGAAACTTTTAACACCTTATATAAAAAGCTCTATATAGGCGACTAGATCATTAGCACACTGGCATTGCGAAACACATGTTATTAATGAGCAGACGCTCCAGTCCGCATATTTTTAAAATATTTAAACGTCACTTTCTATGATTGCGTAAGAGTGCCTGCGACAATGCGTAATATTAGTTTCTCTTTCCGTTAGCGAAACAATCACACATTTCCAAGTTTACTTTGTCGGGTGAAAGATACACAAGACTGTGATTAAGACCACACATGATCTTTCTCACGACACACCTGTGATAATGGCACGTGATTTCTACAAGAGGAAAAACTCGAAGATGACAATGTAATAAGTTTCCTTGCATATAAACTGTCGTTAATCGACGCCGTAGGAAAATTGTTCCCATACAGTCTTATTGAGTGTCGTATGTATGACACTTTCCGTTGTTCTTTGCTAGGATATGTTTGAGATGTGGTAATCGGAAGTATAGAAATGAAATTGTTTATTAACAATAAACTTTATAATTTATCATCATATTAGTTTTAATACCTATTTAAGAATAGGGTTAAATAAGTAGAATTTAATGAAAATTAAAAGAATTTCGTCGATAATTCCCTGAGTTTGCGTTTAGAAGTTTTTCAACTAATCGTGATACTCCAGAGATAATCACCTCAAGGTGACAACCTACAAAGTTCCTCAATTATAAGTAAAAACTAGGGTAATAAAAAAAAAGTCTAATGTCGTCTGATACAGTCCATCGAGAAAAGTTAATCTTTAATTGATCTTTGCCCCTAAAATCTTATTTATATTATCTACTACCTAATAATTAACTCTTATGTACTTAATAGCAATTTGTGAGTCGGTATGTTTGTTTTTCAGAATTCGAGTGGCAGTGAGCCTCGGTCGCGAAGTGCGACTCCCGACTCATTGGACTCGTTGCCCAGTGGAGGGTCGGGTAGTCCGCCCGCTGAGTGGGCTGACTCCGCCACGCCCCCAGACTTTGTGTGAGTTGCTTTAATGAGTTTATATATGTTTGTGTATTTTACAATTCAGTGAACAGAGTGCTTTTCAATTGGGGAATGGTATCTATATGTAAGTTGCACTTCACATGAACCGTACACTATAATTTGGAAATACTCTAAGAATAATATTTAAAATAGGGCAGAATACCCGGTCTTGACCACTGCCTCCTTCATCATTTGGCAGTTTAGGGCGTTCTTAGTAACGCATAAGCAAAAACAGCGTTAATGTGTCAAAGTTTAATTAATCCTAACTCTTAATAGGGCTAAATTTTCTTTTTTTGCTTGACATAAGTATTTTATACTTATGGATTATACTTATAGTTAGATTTAATATATATAAATATGTGATAAATTGTTTAGTGATAGTTTCCCGCCGGCCGGTGCGCATGCGCCCCTCGCTCGTACTCCGTCGGCGCCGGCGCCGGGGCGACGTGCACGTCTAACCCCGCCCACCTCCACCGGACACTCGCCCCCGCTGCCCATGCATGAGCTCTTCAAGCCCAACGACCTACACTGGGCCGATATCGCTACCAACACAGGTGAGATTGCACGATAACTATATTTTTTATGACTTCGGACTTCATCATGAGATCTTAAATGCGAGACGTAAGCTACACATATTTTTAATAATACAAGCCCGATTTCATGTCTCTCATGCGGAGTTGAAAGGTGTCATTAGGACCTTTATTTCCTCTATTTTATATTCCATCTATTTTGTACTACATTCATAATATACCTAATTAGTCCTTAATATTTATTTATCTATATCTACATGCCGTATGTCTTAATAATATATTTTATTAATTTATTCCAGAGGGCATAGAGTTGTTGGGTTATCAAAGATATGGAACAGTTCAAGGACCGAGGATAGGAAAAGAACGAATCAACGGATCAATCTTAAAGGACAACGACACATTCATGTGAGTATTAACAACTTTTAAATTTGGTTTTGTTTAATGATTGATTTGATTTGTTAACTGGTAAATTGCTGTTTAATCTCATATAATAATATATACTCGTACATTTACACCTACTACAAATATCACCAAAAAGGTGTAGAATGAAAAAAATTGCAATTGTGCATTATAAAGATTGCACTTCAATATTAAATATAGATAAATAAGTCTATGATTGAATATAATTCCAGTAAGCACACGGCGGTGTCGCGCGCCAAGAGTACGGCGTCAGCGCAGCAACCGCTCAGCTTCGAGCACAAATTCAATCTCGACAGGCAAATGCTCGACCAAGAAGAGGTAATTGTTCTTATGCAGAATTCGAAAACTAGTTAATTAATTGCCTAAACGTTTCTGTAAAGTTCTCACGGAAACTTTATAAAGTCACGGAAAGTTGTCTTCGATAGGCCTTGGGTATTGTTAGCCCGCGTGCCAATCATAAGCGCGATTTGCGCTATGGCCACTGAGGAACTCGAACGCTCAGATATTAGGACACAAGAAACAATTCAAGTTATTGACCGTATGTATAAACTTAATTATAGCTAGGAAACGAACTCGTGTAATTCGCAAACTTTTGATAACACGTATCTTGTAATTTGTGGAATAAATGCAAAAACAATCATACACGGCAAAGAGAAGTGAACTAGTTGTAGCAAAATTGCGGCGCGCAGGAGCGGTTTGCTATCAACAGATTATTTAAAAACTAAAATCAGAAACAAAAAAATATTTACGTACAGTTTGTGGCGAGTTTGACTTTAAATTCTCAATTCAGAAACAGTCTTGGCATCGATTATCATGGGGAATGTAAGAAAGAATGACGTGATAGATGTCGTTTATCCACAGTCGCCGGGTACTTGATATATTTTTAATGTGTTGCAGGAATGGCCGGAGGAGGAGAGCTGCGTGGACATAGAGAGCGTGCCGGAGCTGCAGCTGAAGCGTCTGTTACCGCTGCTGTGGCTCGAGCTCACCGCGCTCTTCGACAGATACTCGCTGCCCTTCCACAAGCGGAAACCGCCCAAGAAGAAAAAGAAAGAAGGTCGGTTAATTGGTCCAACACTAGTTGATCGTTTGGCTTCCTAGAAATTACAATTCTAATGGCTGGTTTACACGTAATTAATTAGTGGGTAGATTTTTAACTTTTTAAATAAGTAATAAGAAGTAAGATGGTATTTAATTCTAATGAAGCTCGTGTTTGTGTGTTCACAAGTATTCAATGACATAAAATTAAGATATAAATCTACTTACTACTTAATTACGTGTAAATCAGCCATTTGATTGGTACTAATTTAGTTAGATACAAAGTTATTTGCAGTATTCTCCGTTCGTTCAACTTTGAAGGGATAAATTTAATAATGCGAATACTTGGTCCTGTATAGTATAAGTCGGTAGCCGCAAACATCGGTGTAGTTGTGTGATTACTGAATACTCAAATAAAATATCTAAACTCATTATTGTTTCCTTCAACGTGTAACACAAATAAAGCACTGCATTATTTTTAATCTTTGTTTATGAATTATTTTACTCTTTGGTTTATTAACTTGTGCATCGTAAAGTTTAAGAGCATTTTAGACTCAATGCACATTAAAAGAGAGCTCTATTTTCGTTGTTTTTTTTACTATTTTGAATTTTATGAAAAACTAAGAATGTAGTGCATTTTAAAAAGCCTTATTACATTCACTTAAGTTTATTTTTCATTTGTGACGGTTGTAATGGTTGACCATAATTTACTCGATTCCAATTTAATTTAGCAAAAAAAAATTACATATATTAGAAGTTGTTGAAATCGTATTAGTGTCCGATTTTAAACAAACTACTTTCCTTTATTGTTATTTAAATATGTGCTACAGCTGCCGCTATTTTATTATTTTTTAAATATGTATTATCAACTACCCGATTATTTAAAAGTTCAATTGAAACTGTATATAAATCTTATTTCTTACATATTTCTTTTCGTATGTCGTACTTTATAGATGATGATTTATTTCTGAATAAGTAAGATAGTAAATGGAACGTTGTCGTTGACAGAGGGCAACGTGTTCGGCGTATCCCTGGAGACTCTGGTGCGCAAGGACATGATCCTGTGGGAGGAGACGTGGAGCTGCGTGCCGAGCGTGGCGCGCGCGCTGGCCGACACGCTGCGCGCGCGCACGCACGACGAGGGGCTGCTGCGCGTGCCCGGGAACAAGCAGAAGGTGAATATGCTGCGGGGGCGGACTGTCCAATGATGTTGCATCAGTTTCCGAAACGCTTATACGAATACAGAGAAACGCAATCTCGGGTGTACGGGTTTAGTTAGTAAACGAAAATAAGTTGCGAAATCTCCCATCTCGGAGTGCTAAGGTCAGAGTGAATTTTTTAAACATTTTTTATTAAAAATATTTTTAAGTATTGTGAATGCAAAATTTATCAAATTAAATAAACATATATAATTTTTCTTTCTGGTTGTGTTTAATATGACATTAGCTCGTTGTTATTCCACCTTCATACATACATAGAACGACATTCGTTTCACAGTGTTGTGACGTCATTACGACGCCAAGACTGAAGTGTATTTTATCCCGAAAAACGGCAAATAAAGATATGATAATAGGAGTATGGGGAATTAAAAGTTGCCATAGAAACAATTGTTTAATATGAATCAATATCTAAATAAACAGTTCCCTAGGCATCACGCAGGCGAAGCAGCTGACGGAAAGCTAGTAACGTATAAATATAAATATATTCTTACATACATAAAATTAGAGAACCGATGAACCTGTTTATCAATTTTCTTTTAATATATATTTTTTCAGTGTAGGAAATGTTTGTGGGCAGTAAAGACAAAATCGATATCAACGAAGTTCATTGAATCGACTATTATATAAATAACTAGATGTTTTCACGCGATTTTGCGCGTAAGTTATTTCATATAGCACCGCATATGGTGTAGTTTCTCGTAAGTAAAAGAATTGGTAATAGGATATCCAAATATTACCCTCTAAATATTATAGATAATGACATTTATTTAAATAAACAGAGAATTCTGACTTTGTTTTTAATGATACTCGTACTATACTATATTTTGCCATATTTAAGTTTAAATTAGTTCGGCGGTTAATGGGTCCTCTTAACCCATTAATAGAAGAGTTAAATATGTCGGATATGTTTCATCTTTCGTTTTATTTTGAAGGGTAATATATTGAAACCGATCTTTGATTCCAGGTCGAAAGTCTATGTCAGCTGATAGAACGAGAATGGTATGGCCAAAGAGCCGCGGTCGAGGCGGCGTTGCGGCGCGCCAGCAGTCACGATGTTGCCGCTGTGTTCAAGCGGCTACTGAGGGATTTGCCGCAACCGCCGTTGACGCAGGAACTCATGCGACTATTCTATCAGACATATGGTGAGACCACATTTTTTGCCCCGTAATTTATTTATTTATCTTGGAAAACCAACAGCTAATTAAGCCAATTATAGGTTTCCACATAAAGATATAGCTTAGATCTAATCAGTTATTTCACGCACAAACTACACTAACAATTTTCACAAGTAGATCGTAATAGAAACAATTTATTATTCAATTGATATCGATTATAATAGTCTTTTAATAATGACAACCGGAAGTATATAGGCGCGAATCTGATCAAACATGGTTTGAACGTCAGAGTGACAGTGACAGCTAACTGTCATGGGTAGGGATGCCCGTGGTGTAATCGACTAATAGTGCTACATGTCGTCGATCTTTTTCCCTCTAACAGGTAGGTATACTCGTATTTATGATAACTTCAAATGAGGAAGTATTTAAAAAAAAAGCACAAAAAAAGCACCTCCACTAGATGGTGACAAATGTTTTATGCAGGAAACAGTGGACCAAAGATAGTCATTTTCGTTCCTTTTAACTAACACAATAAAAAACTGAAATTTGCAAAGTTCAAATGAGTTGTTAAATATGAAATAGTACAAATGAGTTGTTTAATGAGTTTTGAAATTAATTTACTTTTATACATGAAGAGCCGGAAGGGTTGTCATGGAGAAATCAAGAAAGCACCGAAGCGACATCTAGTTTGATTACGGCAACTAATGTTTCTTTTTTTAAATACTTTCTCATTGATACTTTATATTGGTTGTCAAATCTAATATCTAATAGAGACAACTTCAAATTGTAGGTCTTCTTGAGCGTAATGTATCGCTTCTGCTATATGGCTCCTGCCTTATCTCTATCAACTTCTTATATTCCAACTCATACTATAATAAATAATTTCGTTTCTTTGAGGTTATTTTTCTAGGTATCGCTTATAATGTATGTCAATAAAAGGTGATGTTTCTTTGTTAGCTCTAAGCGGTACAACGCAAGGGCGGGCGCTGAACTTGCTAGTGCTACTAGTGCCCGCGGAGCAGCGCGCCACGCTGCGGGAACTGCTGGTACTAGCGCGGGACATCGTGGCGCACCACCACAGGAACAAGATGACCGACCACAACGTGGCCATGATCATCGCGCCCGCACTATTCCCACCCAGGTGAGTTTGTCATCGTGGCCTACAAAGGAAACGAGATGATCGACCATAAGGTGGCCATATCGATTAGAGACAGATATAATCGGTAGGAAGGAGTTACCGATTATCTGTCTCACTCTATTCGCACATACGTGGTTATTGCGAAAAGAGCATAATAGAAAAATTTAGATTGTTGGCCAATAAAATTCTTAATATTATAGTTGTCTTTTACAGTACATTCGTCAGTAGAGAGACAGAGTAGGTGTCGCAATCATTTCTCTCTTAACTTCTGTGATTGTAAATAAATATCTTTCTTTTATTTTTACCAGTTTCTTAAATATTTGTTCCACATTCAGAGTTCAAACGTCTGATTGATACATATAATCCACTCATACGTACTATATTTTGTACGTGGAATGTGGTCATAGAAGAAATATAGTTTAAAATAACGACAACTTCAATAAACCACTGTTTTCTTTATAATTTTCAATTGAATAATACTTAGTCGGTAAAAATGAGAGTAGCTCGGTGGCGTAGTGGATAAGCGCCGCGGCCCGCGATCGTAGTCGTTAAGCAACTTTCGCTAGGGTCGGTCACGGGATGGGTGACCAAAAAATTATTGTCTCGAGCTACTCCGTGCTTCGGAAGGCACGTTAAGCCGTTGGTCCCGGCTGCATTTGCAGTCGTTAATACCCTCCAATCCGCATTGGGCCAGCGTGGAGGGTCATGGCCCATCCTCCTTAACCATCCATAAGGAAGGCCTGAGTCCCTGCAGTGAGGACGTAAAAGGGCTGGTGGTGTGGTAAAAATGACCGGATATTTCAAACTATAGCAAAAAAATTATAGTACCATTTTAATTCTAGAAATTCTGAAATTCAACAAGGTAAATCTCAGCGTTAGTATTCGAAATACGCTTTCTAATAACATATTTATATTGCTTTTTCCCTCAGCATGCTGATAAAGGCATCGGACAGTCTGGAGACTCAACTGGCGACGGCAGCCAACAGTTGTCACGTGACGGAGGCGTTGATGCGGTGGTGTGAACAGCTGTGGATAGTTCCCGCTTCGCTTTACGCCGCGGCGCAACGCAAGCCGCCGCCGCACCGCCGCCCGCACGTCTGAACGCAACGACGGCTGAACGAGTACTGCATACAGCGAGAGTGCTGCCATCTATTCAGTGAATAAGTGCTTAAGGCACTAGAAAAAACGCAGCGCTCTATTATCAAGAAAAGCACTAGATTAGAAAGAAAATGCTTTTTCTTCTCACCGGGACCAAGTTGTGGACTGAAAAAGTAATCGACAGAGAAAGTTTCGATAAGGTGGCTTCGTTTGAGTAAATGAAACGTGAAAGTCTTAAATTTCTATTTAGTATTTATGCTTTGGTCTGTTTGAATTTTTATGGCAATATAAAACGTCCTAAATGTCACCAAGAGTGGCAATGTTAGTATACACTGCCAAGACTTTATCGAAGACTCGAAGGACCAACTGAAGTTCCGTGTGAAGTAGTGATATTTATATATACTTGTGCATTAACAATTTTAAACAATTCAGCGATTGCGTGATATGATAAATATTATTTAATGATAAAAATATACATATACTCCGTGTTAATCTTGTAGTTAACGCATTTAGTGTGGTATACAAAATGTGAACGAGATGCCAAATATTCATCATATTTCATATTATAGTCATATTCAATATATTTTACGAGGACAGTTGAGATTAAAATGAAATTGGTTGGTAAATTTTAGAATGAATATTCTAATTGTGTTTAAAAAAGGATGGTGCCATTTAACTGTTTGGTAAATAATGTCTACAAAAGTTACCAGTTTGGCAATGTAACGGTTGTAGTATGAATTGGTGCCTTATGTTGCAATGATATTTTAAAATTTTAAGCCTTCAAAATCAGAATTCCACAATCTTTATATTTAATGTAAATAACATTTTTAATAATTGTAATCATTTTTTGTAAAATATTTTACCAATACTTTGACTAGGCAAGCAAAGACTGACTTGGTGTATTATTAATTAATAAATTGTAATGATATTTCATAAGGATATTTACTTCAATTATTAAATAAAATGTATATTATTTAAAAAAATGTTTTCTTAATTCGATAAACGACACTTAAAATTATCAATACTTAAAATTTTTAATGAGATATATGGCTTCATTATCTGCTCCGCAAATAATTTTTCCTTTATCACAATGAAGTGTGTTGATCGATTTATGTAAAGCTGGCATAAGTGAATTTACCATCATGGCATTTTTATCTTCAAGCGGTAGCCATGTTGTTACCTGATTATCTGGGCCTTTTGTACTCTTCGTCATTGCTTCCATATTCCAGTCCCATATCTCACCAGACACCGAACATGTCAGTAGTTTCTGTGGGTTTTCAGGATGAAACTGCATCTCGGTCACACCGGCAGAATGTGCATTAAGTAGAGATGTAGGAAAAGAGTTTATACGTAAATCCCAAACTGCTAATGATCCTGACTCGCTGCCCGCTAGAATGATGTGTGGTTGAGTAGGATGGTTCAAGATACAAGTCGCTGCCATTTCATCACCAGCTAAAAGAAAGGATGCTGCTGGTTTGTTGGTATCAGATCTTAAGTCCCAAATCTTCATGTGGCCCCTAAAATTACCTGTTATGACCTGCATAAACAAACGTTTCAAAGACCTATATTAAAATAATAATTAAAAATATTTATCTATTTACGTAAATTTACAACAATGTTGACCGTAACTTGTGACATATTTGGAACAGGCAATAGTAATGCATATTTGATAAACAGCCCTAACATTTGACAGGTTAAAAATAATGAAAAGACAAAAATGAGAAAAACTATAAGTAAATCAATCATTATGATTTTAATAGTATTTAAACCATCATCCAATTTCACTGTTAGAAACTAAAAAAAAATTTGAATTTCAGTTTGTCACTTATAGTTGCTACAGCATTGTATCAGCGGATGCTAATGTTGATTTTTTCAATGCTGATGATGATAAAAATAAATTACTTAAATATATTTTATATCACACTACAAAGGCACTAGCAAATAAAGTATAAGCTCCTTATACACGTTTTCTTTACTCGAAGTTGGAATGTTTTTTAACCCAATTCATGTGATGCGGATAAAAATTGTTTATTCGCAGATACAATTGATAACATTAAGAAATTCAGCGATGCTTATTAATGCATAGCCATCTTTTAAATACTTTGAGCATGTGTCATGTGTCATTGATAAAAACTTTTTTTTTTGTTGTATCATTCATAAAATACTTAATAAATAGTTATGAATCTGAATTTAAAAATCTTCAAAACTAAAAAAAGGACAATAAATAAAATCTTTAAAAACCCTTATTTAAAGCTGACAATAAAGATTGATTTTGATTGGTAATTACTCAATAATCTAACCTTAATTTTATTTATATTAACATATATATTCCTTTTATTTTAGAACCTTGGAACATATCCCCTAAAATCCTATACTATCCCCTAAAACGCTACCCAAAATTCGCATTTTCTGTATTCACTGCATATTTAAGGAACATATCTTCCAGAAATAAATAGCTTCTAGTGTATGGTAATTTGTTTTGAATTAAACACAAGTTATATATAATTACTTATATTATAAAAATAGTAGCTTTTTTGTTTGCATTTGAAATATTGAAGCAGATTGTTAATGTACTGTTTTATTTACCTCATTATGTTTGATGAAGCAAACTGAATGTAATGAGCAGCTATCAGCCCCATTTATTGTACGAGTGATTTCTCCACGTCTACTATTTAGGATATTGAAATTTCCGTCTTCACCTATTGTTGCAATGTCACCATCAAGATTGTCTAAAGATGTACAGGAACACTGGTCTGACCTAAATGCAAATACCAATTAGATTTATAAAGGAAATTACCTCGTGTAACAAGTAATAAAAAATAAAAAAAAACTAGTATGCAATATTTTGTGAAGTATTTCTTATGAAATTTTCAAATCAAACTATGATATTTTGCATAACATCATGCACTATCAAATAAATACTTGAGAGGCAATAAATCTTTAAGGACACATCACAAACAATTATGTTTAAACACATAATCGGTCAAGAATAAATGTCTTACCCAAAAGAATGTAACTTTTCCCAAACATGTATTTCTCGTAAGGGCGATTTCTTATCATATGCACTTATTTCAAGTAACCTAACATCCCCGTTTGATGTCGAAACTGCTATCTTGTTATTATCAATTAATTTAATTTGAGTCACATCACCGTCTACGGTGTATTCGGATAGAGGCCGAGGGTATTCAATGTCTTCTTCTTCTTCGTGAATACGCTCTAAAGTCCAAACTTTGATTGAATTCACATCATCATCCCAACTGCCGGTCAAAAAGCAATTTGTTTCCACATATTCTTCTGGAATCCATTTTACTTTGTTTATTTTTTGAGAGACGAATGTGCCTTGTACATCAAGAGGCATTATTGTTGTAACTATTAGCTTTATAAAGATAAATAAAGTGATATTAATTGCTCATAATCTTTTCCATTCCACGATAAAATAACATAACCACAACATAACCAATTCGATTTAGGGATGTAACGCTATATCATAAAACTGACGTATTGACGCCAAAAATATCGGTATTATATCAATTTGGAAAAATCGATTGCAGGCGATATTTTTATAAACCTTTCGTAACATATTGACATTATGTGTCAAAATAAAGAGAAAAAAAAATAAAATAAAAATATGGAGTAATAATAATGGATAATAAATAAATTATAATGTATTGGTATAATATTGATATTTTTCTTTCACAAATACTACTTGTATAAACCAAAACAGCATGATGTACATTTATGGGCTAGATTCCTTTGTTTGTAAAAACAACAACATTGTATTAGGTCAATGTCAAAGTAATTAAGAGATTCTTTAATAAATTTCAAATTAATTCAAATCGTAACATTTTTATTTTAAATAATTAATATACAAAATAATTTAATTAAAGTCAAGAATGATATTTTTTTAACCAACTTCATAAAAAGATCCATCAATAAATTAATTGTTAATCATTTAAAAGTCTAACAAAAATACAAAATGAAAATTGATTGTTGATTTTCAAACGTGAAATATCTATTAAACGATAGTATGATTTCCGGAAAAAGTAAATTTCATACAATATCGCATTACTACATTATGTCTTTCACTTGTGCGCAAACACATTGCTATTGCGTGCGCTCAGATGCATCTAACCAATTTTGTAAAAGTAAAGTGAACATTCAGTAGGCAGAAAGCTCAACATATGATATTGTTTCTGTTTGGCGACCGTGCTATTCAGTATTTACAAATCGATTTAAAAAGACTTATGTGACTGAGAAATCGATACTTATATTAATTGATCTCACTCCCGTCCTTACCGTATCGGTAATGTGAAAAGATTATAGTGAAGGTCAAACGTTATTGTGTTGCAGTCTTAATAAGTCTGTGGTGTATTCTAATTCTTATAGATAATTGATATTAATTTGGCATAGCTATGGATCGACGCGACATTTTACAGCCCGCAAAATCTGCGGAATACATTGCCAGACTTTCTAATCACGTTAAAATACATGAAAGTGGTATTAATAAACTTTGTGAAGAAGTAAGTTTGTTTACATATATATATGTAATTATAAGTTTACCTATATCAATAATTATACAAATCCTGTTTCCGCTTTAATTATTTTATATCACTGCTATAACATAGCGCAGTAAGCTATGTTACGATGGAGCTGTACATTAAAGTGTACAGCATAACAGGTTATTCAAAATGGTGAATTTTCTCCATTTGATTTTAAACCTTATTGCTCTCGAAGTAAATTTTAAAATCAACTGTGGAAATTTGATATATTGTGATACTCTAACGGACAGCCATGTGTACATGCTTTTTTATAGAGTTTGTCGCTAGAAGCCATAGATTTAATATTATCTAAGCAAAAAGCTTCTTGGGTTTAGCTGACTGGCGAGTGTAGTGAAGCGTAGTATTCGATATGAGTTAGGAAACCCGATTTATGTGATAATCTGCATATCGATGAGTTATATAACAGCAAGGTATATCGATAACCTATTATCAATATACCTATGAAATGGTTAAAATTGCTTTTTTGGTAGCCAATAAATAATAATAATAGTGCTTTCGTACCAAGTTTTCAAGCTCTGGACTCTGTATCAATGTAATAAATAGCACTTGTGTTGTTGATGTAGATTTTAGAAGAATCTCGAAGAGTGCAATGACAGCGCTATCATATAGGTAAATTGTATCGTCGTCTCTCTTGCTCTAATTAACATATTTTTCAATGCTGTAAAGTGGGGCAGAGCATTTTGAAGTTCACGATATATTGATAATTGGTTTTAAGAGTGGACTCTGTTACGGCCTTTTGGTTGTTGAAAAATCTCGGCACAATGCTCAATGAAGTTTGTCAACAGGTGGACCTCAAAATTATCAATCATAGAGAAGTCAAAGGTTAAGTCAAATACCTATGTGGTAACCAGTGCCCATTAGTGGCAGTTGAAAAATAAGTTCTAGAAGTTTGATGAGTTTTGAAAACATATTGAGAATCATTTCATTCTCATTTAACTTGTAGAAATTAATTTATTTTAATATAAAGTAACTAAAATAACTAGGTTTTTATAGACATGGATTCATTTAATTCGAAATATGAGGCGAGGTCCCTCGTGGGTTCTTTAAATACACATGAAACAATACTGATGCTCTGCATGCCCATTCGCTAATTCAACTGACAGTTTAACGTTTTCTTCTTCTAATAGTGGCTTCGCACAATTCTGCTAATGGCAAATGAATATAAATTTCTACATGTAAAATGAATATGAAATGAATGGAAGACTGCGATGATCGTATTAACTGTAAAAAGTTAACAATTCCAATGTGTCGATATCAATTATTTGTTTGACCGCTTGCCCATAGAGCTCTGTGAACAATTTATTGCGATTGTCCTCAGAGTTACAGAGCAAGGAGGCTGGCGGGGATAGCACTCATGATTGTAACGTAATGAAACTAAAAAAGTAAGCCAAGTCCATCTCCATACAAACCATGCACGGGATCGGCGTAGCCACGACTGGCGTGTTGCTGCTCCTACCTTGAATCGATAAAGTTTGTGTGTGCGGACGACAATGCATACGCACGGGCGCGCTCACATGTAAAGGGGCTGTCCATTAATCACGTGAGGCTCGAAAGGGGGGGAGGGGTCCATAAAAAAGTCACGAAATATCACAAGGGGGGAGGGGGGGTGAAGTAACATATCACGTGTATTTATTTTTTCGACAAACTCGCGATACTCAACCGAAAAGCGGCGTAAATAAGTGTAATAAAATTATTTTTTCGTCAAACGTTCATTAAATAATAATATTCATAAAGTTTTTCGCATTCCTTTCATTATTTTTGTCAATCAAAAACAACCTGCAAGTCCTGTAATCTTTCTGTCTACCTCTAGACATTATTGTACTCTTTAATTTTCTATAATAGACAATTAAAGAGTACAATAACAAAAAATTAGAAAATTAAGATTCATTGTAAGTACTAAAAATACACGTGATATATGTGGAGGGGGGGGGGGGGGGGTAGTCTTAAACCTCACCATATATCACTATGGGGGAGGGGAGGTTAAAAAATGCCAAAAAAACATCACGTGATTAATGGACGGCCCCAAACTATTTTCGGTGCCTATGTATGAAGTTAACATACTTTTTGTACTTTGTTCTTTTTACCTATATCTACACTTTACCAGACTCTACCGAGGCGCATGGTATACGTAGTACCACATCAGGTTACTACAAAATATCAAGTCTTCGCAAACCATGTTTTATGTCTTAATAAATCTATCGTAGGAATTTAATGATTTTAGATAAACTTGCGTACTATTAACTGTACTTATAGTAAAATTTAATCTAACTAACATAGCGCATGGTGAATCTTCGTTTGCGTAGAGCAGATCTACCAATTATGACGATGTCCGAAAATACGAATAAAATGTACAGTGAGTTTTGTGTACATAATGAGGTGTAAAATACAATGCATTAGGTGTGTATTTCACTAACACTAAGTCGGGGTCAAGCGCGTGGATATTGGTGGCTCGCCTAATGGCGTGATACTTACATCATTCTGATTGGTTTATCAATTTATTGTATCGTAATGTTCACGTATGAGCGTGCAATGTTTTTTAAACTGAAAAAATTAAACTATTTTTTTCCTCTTTCTACGTCTTTCAATAATCAACTTCCTCTGGTCCACAGAAATAAATTATTAATTATACTCTCAATTGAGTCATTGTTCAAGGACATTACGTATTGCCGTCTTCGAGGGTGCCCGATCCATTTTTCTTTGTGTTTTCCCAATGAAAAGTTTTTGTCGACAGGTTCTTTTATCATTAAAATCGAACAAACTGGAAATTCCAGCAACTGGCGCTAATATACAATATCCTGATAAGGAAGATGTTCGAACAGTAGATTGGATCTTTGTAGCAGACGCATTAAATTTTTGCTTTTGGTCTTATTCTGATAATAATAAGTGGACAGTTGATAATTACTCTGGTTATTATGCTTTGGAGGCAGCGTTAAGTAGAGCATTAAAGGTAAGATATTCATTTTATTAAGCTAATTTAGAGTAAACTTATAAAAAGTATTGTTCAATATTTAAGAGTCTGATAGCGTTATCATTAAGCCAATGAGAGGAATCAATGTAACTGTCGTCGGATTGGTGATCCAAAATGAATACCTCGATCTGCACTGCTTTAAAAAGTATGTTAAATCTTCGGTTCCAGCTACATCAGCAGGAGGCCTACCGCGTAATAACGGCTTCGATTTAGTTAGCATGGGATTCCATAAAAATACTTTCAATGTTCAACACTGTATTGTATAGTGCAATGAGTACATTCGATCGGGTTGAAATAAATGCAGTCAACGTTTAATACAACAATTGTCATTGTATCTAACGCTAACTGAAATCTATGTACATACGCCGCAATCCTTAACGCCCATTATTATAGGCCCATTCTTCCTATGTTTTATATTCATGGTCCACGCTAGTCCCCTACAGTGGGAATATTAATAAGATTAGTCTTAGATTTATCACATTTCAGGAAGGTCATGACATAACAAATCCAAGTTACTATTCTAAAATAACGAAAGAACAACTTTCAGTTATTATGAGAGGAGATAATGACACACCAATTCCATTATTTGAAGAAAGATTGTCGGTACTACATGAGGCGGGAGCCATACTTTTAGAGAAATATAATGGAACATTTAAAACATGTCTGCAAGAAGCAGATAAGTCTGCTTTGAAACTACTCAGGATCATCGTTGACAATTTTCCTTGTTTCCAAGACGAGGCAGTATATAAAGGAAAGGCTGTATCTTTTTACAAGAGAGCACAAATTCTCGTAGGAGATATTTGGAATTTCTATGGTGGCAAAGATTGGGGAGAGTTTAGAGATATAGATGAAATAACTATGTTTGCTGATTATAGAGTACCTCAAGTTTTGTTATACTTTGGTGCATTAAGTTATGATGAGAATTTAATGGAAAAAGTGAAGAATGGTAATCACAGGTTTTAACAGTTGTTTGTTTTAATTGTTGTTTAATTTTATAGAAGTTCTCCTCGTGTTACAGATGAACTTTTGCTCAGTGGTTCAGAAGAGGAAGTAGAGATACGTGGTTGCTCAATACACTGTGTGGAATTACTGAAAAAGAATATAGAAGAAAAAATTAAGGGCAGATCTAATGTTGAAGTGCCCAATTCAAGTTTGATCGACTATTATCTTTGGTGTTACCGCCGAAAGTACGCCGACGAAATGAACAAGGTACCGTTTCATAAAACCTTGGGAATATTCTACTGAAATGATCTTTTTTAATTGATATACCAAAAAAAATCTAGATTAAGAAAAAAAAAAATATATTTTTTAATATGAATTTTTATTGTCACATCAAAACCATACATCAGAAATTAGACAAAAAAACATTATTACGATAAGATTAAGGCGATAATAATATAAACCGCATATAGTAGTAGTTCATAGATATTTGAAATTTATCACATTACTGCAGTCGATCTTTTGTATAACTTTAAAATATAAACAAATCATAATGTCTAACTGACTCTACCTTACACGTCGCTTATCTAAAAATTATGGGCACAACCACTAAAGGAGAACTAATACACAATATTAGGTATTTATTCATTTCTATTATTTACAACTTTGGCGTTGAATCTAAGTAATGACTTAAATAATGAAAAATGATATTTATGTAAATGGCACTTAATATTTACACGATTTATGACCTTATTTACACATTTATACGACCATCCAAGAAATTATAAAAGACTGGAGCCTTTTTCGTTTTTACAATTTTTTCATATTTCGTTTTGCGAGTGACATAACTACCACGAAATGTTTACAAACAAGTAAACAAATTATAGTTATGTTTCTTTTTATTGTTACAAAAATCGCAATTTTACCATAGGATTCTTATTTTAATTTGAAATAATTCTTTTTAAATATTCTGATTTATTTATTTTGCCGGTGATGTACTTCGTAATTGTAGATTAGCCATCACCAAAAGAATTTAAACAAATGGAAATGCAAATAATGATAATATCAAAAGATAAAAGTGTTTTCCATTTGATAATGAAAATATTAATGATTATTACTCTTTGAGTATGAGAATCGAGATTACTCATCAATGATTAGATGATGATAATGTATCGAAAGATATAATGCCACAGCAAAATTAAAAATAAATCTAAGTCTGGAATTTAATAGAACTTTATCATTTTTTATTTATTTTTTCCTGGAGTTTTGTAACTGTATACCTCATATTTATAAGGTGACTCTTATTCTATTTATTATTAAATTTAGACTTGAGACTTTCGAAGAACGCTAATTTATTTTTAATTGTACCCGGTTCAGGTTGAGGGCTGCCAGGTCTACTGGTTTGTTTGACAACTTCTTCTGTGCCTTCTGGGATTTCTTTTGATCCCCCAGGAACTGTTAGTGGAGTTGCCATAGACATTTTGAGTTCTTCCCTGAACTCTTTAGAGATGCTCCTTGCAGTGAGACTGTGCATATATTGTATTTTGTTTGGAGATTTCTCGTTTTCACCGTTTAATATATTTTCTTTGCTTTTCCGCCGTCGCCATGAATATGGCTGGGGGAGCTGGAATACAAACAGAAGCAAATTTTGTTATACACATCTCATTAACAAAATTAAAAGTCCGGTATCATTTAAAGAGTTGCGTTGCTATGCGAAATGCTTACAAACCAATTTAAAATTAAAATAAAATCGGTTTTGCCCTCAGATTTAAAAGCAAATTGTATAACGAAACACATTACATAATTATGAAACCGCACAAGTGTATTATGCATTTGTTAATTTTGTTGGGGGAACTAGATTCCAAATTATCAATTTTAATAATACATACTACCTATGAATGATAAAGTATAATTAGTTTGTTATCATTTATTGTTGATACTAAAAGTAATTTGAAATATTAATTGAATGCTCACCTTGGTTTGTTCATTAAGATTCTCCATGCTTACGAATTTCTTTGCCAATTCTTTTACTTTAGGTAGCTGTGAAAGGATATCGTCGATCTCACTGTTTTGATCAAAAGCGTCTTCCTCAAGTCGTTCTTTTATTACTACTGTTTCTTCAGTGACTTCGATTTGTAGAGTGTGTTTGTCATCGGTATCCCCTAAGATATTCTTATCGGGTATATCGATGTTGTCGTTCGTGTCAGCGTCAGTCTCGTATCTTGTTGATACGTTATCTTCCGGCTTACATTTCATTATCTCGCCCGTTTGTATATTGTAGATTTTAATGGAGTCTTCTAAACTGCTAGAACTTATATAAGAATCACCAATGCTCTGGTTGGTAGGTGATTTTTCAGGTTCATCTACCTCTCTGTTTTCTATATTAAGTAGCGGCAAGTTTGATTTGTAAGCGGACTCTAATATTTCTTCAAACTTTTCATCTGTGTCATCATTATTTGCATAAGCTGGTTTTGCAGAAAATACCGTATCCTCATGAGTGTCTTCGTATTCTATTAAGATACTGTTGTTATTATCTCTGGAGTTAGTAGTTATAGAGTCCATTGATTGATCGATGGCGAATTTTGTATAATGTTGATTAATAGCGATCGTGTTAAATTGCTTTATAAGAAATCCCTGAAATTTTAATAAAAAGTTGGTAATTGGCGCCACATCACATTACAAAACTTTGTAATAGTTTATCAATTATAAAACTTAGGTAAGTATGTAAAAACTGACTAAACTAAGTGATATTTAAAAGCCCGTCTCCGTGCTGAGAATATTAGAAATATTGCGGAAACATTAGAAAAATACAGTGATTGATGTGCGGTTAAAATAATAATGCCGTGCAAGGTTCTTTTTATGTTAGTTACTGGGTTAGATGTTGGAATACGTTTGAAATGTTAGAATGGTGTTTTTATTGATCGAGAAAATATGATTTGTGTTGCGTTTGTGGTAAGGAGGATAAGTTATTAGCTCATTAACATAGAGTCTAGTTAGTTTTATCGTAAGCCTTCCCAATTATTATTAGTTATAAGTTCGCCAAAATCTCACAACACTCACCACTAACGTCTCGGTGGATTACCGTTGTATTATTATTACTGAAAATTGTATTAAGAAGAACACAAATCTATGAGTGCGGCTCTAATAATACTTTCATACTCATATAAAGTGCAGAGTGCTGTTAGTCAGCGTTTAATAATAATAACATGCCAACTTTAGAACACAACAGTCAAAATTTGTTGTGTCAAAACGAAGATATGTATCCTAGATAAATGGAATATTATGGAAAATAAAACCTTATTTTTATTAATTAGTTAATTAAATGATTAGCTCTGAACACCTATGTATGTATCGTACATAGTTTAAGAGATTCGTATTGCACAAAATTATCATATCGGTAGGAATTATTACATTGTCAGTTAATGTGTTTAAAGAGTCGAGGTGGTGTATTAGGGGTTGCATTTCACCAGAGGTCTGTATGAAAACCCTTGTTTAACCTTAAACTTCCACCGAATGTATAATTGAGACCTGGTCGACGTTTTGAGCGAACACACAAATCTTCGCTTTTCAGCGTGTTATTCCGCCTAACATTGCTATAAGTCTCGAATAGATCTTCTGTTATTTCAGGTTTTATTGGTATTTTAAGTCTAACTATATCCTCGTTTTCCACATAACCCTCACCCTCACTGTATACATGTTTACTTTGCAATCTTACGTTGGCTTTTTGACTGACATTATGTATGTCATAAATTTCATCTGTGTTATCGTTATTGTCGGGGTTTTCGAATATGGGATTAATAGCGAAGTTGGGGCTCGCATTTCTGGGACTGAGAACGGCACGGACGATGTTTTGATGGAGAGCAGAGGCTTCGAGATCGCTCAATGAACTGCTAGCACTTACAGGCGTAGCGAATTCAGTTTCAATATTGTCTAAACTGCTGGACTTGTTTAGCGATGATATGGAACTTATGTCACTGATTGAACCATTCTTCTTGCGAGCTCCGGATGATCTTTTTGCCTCCTTTATGTAATAATCTCTCCCATATCTGAATTAGAAAGGTTATAAACAATTAAACATTGAATGATTACAATCTTACATCAACAGCAGTTATTTATGGAACTAATTAAAGTAAATCACGATAAAGTTAATTTTATTGATTTATTTTATACATAATTACTTACCGTTTATATTGTGGCACTTCTTCTGCTAAGACATCTTTTAATATTTTTGGTGTAGGACTTGCAACCATACGCGTGTACCCATCAACAGGTTCTAATTTAGAGCTATTTGTTGTATGAGAAGCAGTTACATCAATTTTATCTCTTTCTGGAATATTTTCTACATTAGTTTGAGTCTTAGCATTGCCTGTTTCGTTATCTGATGTAACTTTAACTTCATCATCATCGTCTACTTCATTGTTTTTGGTCGTAATCATATCAAAAAGCGAAGAGGTACTTTTAGTTGATAATCGTTTTTTAATAGCTTCCGGCGAATAAGGATTATTAGGCATTTCAACGTAATTTAACCATTTCTTTCGCTCTCTGTATGCTATCGAACCTTTGAATAAAAAAAATATCTGTTTAAGATATTATTAATTTTAGGTATTAGGTATAAGTTAAACTGAGCTCTTTCTTACCTGGTATCAGACCGTCGACATCATTATCAGTATCTCGGGTTGGTATCCTGAAAGGTTGTTATTATTATTATTTATATATCAATGGATATCTACGATTTAGAAGCAAAGGGTAAAGTTTACATACTGATGTGGGTCGTCGTCGAAATGTTTTCTTCGCAAACTATCGGCATACCTCTGCACTGGGATAGTTACAGTTTCTTCGTATTCCCCTTCTCGTTCATGACGACTTAGCGTATTGGTAGACCCTAAAATAAGAATATTATATATATATATATATATACATGCATGAGATGCTTTTTTAATGTATTATAATGATTATTAAGGTATTTAGGTACCTTTCACATTGTGTGAACCATCTAAAACATCTACAGCAACATCAGTATAGGTTATAGAATCTGTTTGGTCAAACTTTAAGCTATTTCCATTCAAAATAGTTCTATGAATCTCTTCTTTTATTGAAAATTCAGCTTTTTGAGGTGGACCGCTATCGATTCCTAATATTAATATCGAGTCTTGTCCATCTTCGAAATTATTTGTCTTGTTTAAGTTATTAATTTCCTCAGAAATTTTACTGTCATTAATTTCATTGTTAATAGCGTGAGTGAGATTTTCCTCTTCTTGCTGGTTTTCATTAAATTGGTCAAACTCTTTTGCGTCATCCAGAATCGTTAAACTGTCTGGCTCAAAGTCAAGTTCCTCTAATTTCGGTTTGCCTCCTATAACATGCTTTGAATCTAATACTCTTTTGATATTGCTTTTAAATTTATTATCTTCATCATCCTCTTGGTCGCTAACGTTATCAGAGAGATCTGTTGTATCGTCTGCATCTCTGTCTCCGATAAGAGCTCTGTATTCTGCGTTAGAATTGGGAACTAACATTGGAACGGGCACTGATTGTATGGTCTTTATCTTCTTTTTCTGGAAAAGCCAATTTTCTTCCCATGTGCCGTCTGTAGCTTGTATTTCACTTCCAGATACTTCATCGAAATCGCGATCTCTGTTATCTGTAATAAATAAGTCTATAGAAATAGGTGAAATAATTATAGCCATTAATGATCATTGTTTATTTTTAATACCCTGATGAACGATGTCTCCACCAAACTCTGGGAACGGGACCCGCCTAGGCAATTCCAAAGCGTCTTCTATTGTTTCACCTTCTTCCCAATCAGAAACATCTTCTTCTTCTCGAAGCTGTAACGTAGAAAATTATAATTAATTTTCATTCTGTAACAGACTTACCATAATAAAATTTGTACACAAAGGAAAAGATTCATAGAGCCCTATCGCATCCAACTTACCTCATGTTCATTTTGAGTTAAAATTAAATCTTTGAGGAAATAATTAAGTGTCTTTGCTAGGGTTATGGAAGTTATATTTAGATGGCGTAGAATCAATTCGTATTCGTATTAGTGAAAAAAAACTTTCTATTGACGAGTTAAGTTTACAATTCAGAATTGGTATCCGCAATAAAAAATATTTTATTGGTTGACTTACTGGAGGAGAGATATCTCTGGTGTGCCTTGAGTTAAGGGATGGCGGCGGAGACCTCTCTGATGGCGTTGGACTGGCACTTGCAGAGTGGATACCGCTACTTCGTCCTCCAGATCCATTCTCAGTCTGGTACCTTTCGATCACCTGGAATAATTAAAAATATTATGAGCATTTTCAACGATTAGTGATTAAAACCGCGTGACAAAAATGGCTTCGCCGTGTTTCTCAATCCTTCCAGCCATCCATTCTCTTCAGATTTGTGTACCACCAAAATAGCTTTTAGATTTAAGCATTTCTTGACAGTTTAAAAGAGATAAACGATACTGAATTTGAATGTAGATTTGATCAATATTATGGGTTTATATAGTACTAACCTCTTCGTTCGCGGTAGGAAAGAAAATTCCTCCAAAAAAGTTATACATGTTTCATCCGACTTTGGAATATAGGAACAAAGAGGTTTGTACGTATTAGATCTTCTTCGTGGATTCTAATGTGAGCTATTGTGTTGGCATTGTGTTGTTGTGAGAAGCGGCTCATTACTTATAGGGTTGTCACAAATATTTTTGTTTGCCTGCTGTAAGTTGCTTATAGATTCTCTTTCATTATATCATATATAAAATAGTACTGACAGTTCTTTTCGAGAAATGGTAGAAAGCGAAATTGATATTAATTCAAAGTCATTATTATCACACTATCAGCAATGCCAGACTGAATTCACGTAATTTATCAGATATTTTACATTAAACAAACAAATCGAGTTATCAGTGAAAATTATATAATAAACAATATATATTAAATTACCTATCATTGGCAACTTAATTAATTTGTTTTGAACATAAACTTGTACTTAGAGGTAAACTTGTACTTAGAAAAAAAGTACCCAAAAATCGAGACTATAACAGGGGTGTTATAGTCTCGATTTTTGGGTACTTTTTTTGGCTTAGTCATTAATATTACAAATCTCAAATCAATTATTGTTTAAGAATAAACTTTTTTATTGACAGCTTGTGCTTGTGATTTTGCCTAAATACACCCGAAAAAAAAAAATAAGACTAAAGTTTATTTTGTTATGATCAGTGACATACGACAACGCTGTCCTTTAGTCGTCATTATTATAATATAGTTATCACTATAAAATAAACTTCTTATTTCAAACTTTTAAGAGCGTGATCTAGCTGTAGTCGGGTTTTAGTTTTTGAAGTAATTTTTTTTAATAGCAAAAATAGAATTGTCTCTAATTACAACACAAAAACCTGCGTGTCTATCTCGTAAGTAATTGAAATTTATATAACTATATAAGTTTGTGCATCTTGAGTAGATTTCACTCGATTCATGAACTTCGAATTATGTTATCACCACATAATACTGAATAGTTTAATAAAAATAAAACTTCAAAAGTCAAAATTAACCTGAAGTTCAAGAAATTCTTTTCTTGTCGGACTTTGTTTCGCCAGTTTTTCTCAGACAACACTCTATTTGGAAGTGGTGGTAGTTTACGGTAGCCAGAGGTAAATAAGTCAAATGTATTTTTAAAATAATCTATTTTTATAAATGTAAATGTTTCCATAGAATATTTGAAAAAAATGTATCGAGTATTGTTTTGTAAGGTAGCTTTACTCTTAATTAAAAAGACTATCAACACCTTAGTCTTGTGTGAACACGGAACATGTAAAGGGTCCAAATGCGATGAAACTATTTAAAAGTTGTTTCATTTCTGTATAGTGAGCGTGAAAATATAAGATACCAATACTCAATAAGTTCAGTTTAGTTCACCTTCTATTATAAAGAAAATTATAAGGTACTTACCTTATAATTTTCTTACGTACGAGTAATATCAATAAATATTATCTGGCACTGGCACACAAAAAAATTCAATTATAAAAAATATATAAAAAATAGAGCAACTTTATGTAACTTATAGGTACTATCATAGAGTGAGTAAAAATCGTGAGTGCTACGTATCGATATGAAATCAAACACCTTCAAATTACCTAATTTAAAAATGATTTTTTTTCTATTTCCTATGACAGATATAGTTTGTATTACACCTTCTTTGTTTAAATATACTTATGTGACGATAGTTTAACAGTCCATAGGTGCTTAGGTCAAGTTTATACTTACATTGAAGAAAATGTATATTATTGTTTAAACAAAGTAAACAGCAGTAAGGCTCCATTGCTTTGCCTTGTAACTTTCAAGCGTAATGTTATAATTGTCAACGGAAAAAAATCATTTTATAAATGAAATTTGTTTTTAATGTCTCAGTGAACCGATAACTTGTTACTATAAAATATTATACTATTAATAAGTTTTGCTAAATTTGCTATCAAATAAAGCTCTTAAGTAGCTAAGATGGCAAAATAATTAGTTTCCTAAATGTAATAGCGCCAACAACGTATGTTAATAAAACCTCATCAAATGGATTTAAATATGTAAATAAGTTTAAAATTGCTTTAATTCGTATAATTTTCGCTAATTTTGCACTATTACCTACATTTGTTTACAATATCTCTGACCCACAAATCATATTTTATCGCCTGTAGATGGACAGCACGCAACTCTTGCGCATTTGATTCTATGTAAACTTCAAGATGGGTAGAACTTATTACGTAAAACGGGAAATTCATCATGTACCTTGACATGAGATACTTTCACTTTTATCAGGCAATTTTAATTATTTCACTATTTGTGTTAATTTTTAGGATTCCGTAGTTAACAAGGAATCTTAATAGTTTCGCCATGTCCGTCTTTCCGTCCGTCCGTCTGCGGTTGAGCTCAATATCTATTGGTACTAGAAAGTTGTAATTTGGTATGAATATACACGCCGACTAAGTGGTAAAATAAAATTTTGAAAATATTTTTTTTTGATAATAAAATTTAGTACCTCTCCTACATGTAAAGTTCCCGATGCTAATTTTTTTTCATCTTCCCCATACTGTGGGATATCGTTCGATAGGTCTTTCAAAAACATTTCAAACATTTAGTAAACTGTTTGTGGGTTATTAAGATTTAAAGAGCTAATTTTCGATATAGTCAAGTGTCCCCCCCCCTCTACCAACTAAACAGTCATTGGTATCACACTTAAGTTGGTTTTACAAGTTTACGAGTAATAGTCGACCATTTGTATTTAACTCGAAAATTTCGAACAATTCCATAGAAAACAACAAACGTGATTTTCGTTACCGATAATGGTACGGAACCCTTCGTACACGAGTTCGATTTGAACTTTGTTGGTTAAAAATTGGTAAGTTCACTTAAGTATAATTTGTAAATTAAACTGTTGAATTACGCGAACCAATGTTTCACAACGATCAAATTTCGTTAATCACTCTTTATGAAAATTTCCATTTGATTTATATCACGATTATAACGAGTATTATCATTTCAATCAAAACACTACTCTAAGACGTGGTAATAAAAGGTAAACTCACAAATGCAATGACATAAAGGAAGACCACAAAAATTATCATGTATAGAGACAACATATTTTACACTTTTCACTGTCCTTAATCTCTACACTAATTGCCAACTTCCATCACTGGTGAAATTACTAATACTGATCTTAATTATATTGAAAATAAATGACTTACCATTTCTTAAGCCGGAGACAATCTGTTTAGGTACGTATCTAGTCAATAATCAGGTTACAGATTGTTTTATCATTGATAAATGTTATCGGAACCGTCAGCCTGAAGATAATATAGCCTTCAGTCGTCTATTTATGTGTTTACATGCATGTGGGACAGAATATTCCCGACTCAGATTTGTCATTTTAAATAGAAAAAATATTCTTAAAGGATAATTCTTAAAAAATCGCTTTGTCCCCGGCAAAAAAAGAATAGAACGGCTCAGGATATGCTATTGATCGTTATAGCTTTCTTACTTCAAACCTATTTATTCACAATCGAGCAGAAATACAATAGGCCTTCAGGTGTCATGTTAATTGTCTCAAATAATATATTGGCACCAATGTGCCAACCCTAAATTACTGTGAGCTGCCATAATAGCACTTGTAAGGTTCCATCTAATAAGGGTATGTTTAGGTATATAAACACACTAGCTCTATTCCCTCGTCTTGGCCCGAGTAGATTATCATGTCATCCGCATATCATAAATATTTTTAAAATCGATCCAGTATTTCAGATTCTAATTCAACCTAACGTCAACAAACAAGCAACTGTTTAATCTTTATATTAGTATAGAGTTTTTAGTCTATTAAAATCATAAATGATATGACCCTTTCATACACAGTAGACAAATTAGTAAAAAATTATGACGGACTAAAGATTTTGATGTTAAAGTCATTTTGCGTAACTAACATCTCTTTAACAGTGTCTGCTTATTCAAATGTAAATGTCTCATATTCAAAAGAAAAACCAATCGATCAACTTAACTTGAATATGAGCGGTGATTTCTATACTAATATTATAAAGCTTAAGAGTTTGTTTGTTTGAACGCGCTAATCTCAGGAACTACTGGTTTGAATTGAAAAATTATTTTTGTGTTGAATAGACCATTTATCGAGGAAGGCTTTAGGCTATATAACATCACGCTGCAACTATTAGGAGCGAAGAAATAATAGAAAACGCGGACGAAGTCACTGGCGGCCACTAGTTTTAATATATGTATAGATGAATTAATTACTTTTTTATTTATTTACGAAGGTTACTTAAAACAACTACTAGTTTTTAGTAACGACATAGCGTTTTAGCAGCTGAGTTTATTTTTGCCATTTGCATTTGATATGCCCCATGCTGTTGCCAATTTGATCTTGACTATAAGACTACGTTTATGGGTTTGAAAATTGTAATCCTACGGATATGTTTCAAGCGGAATGAATACGTATCAATTATTTTTCCGTGACTTTGCCCGCGTAAATTATAAGGCTATGTCATCCGCGTGGAATGTATTTCCGATGTTTCTAACGAGTACTCTCTACAAACAAAGAAGTAAGTAGTAAGTAGAAGAAAGTATCTATGACTACTATGATAATTAAGTTGATAATTTATATAAATTTAGTAATTAATCTACATTAATCGTACCAACAAAATACAAATTGTTAACAGCAGCAGTCACGAAACATGACTTTTTTTCTAAAATAATTAAGACATCGCTTCAAAATTGCACTTCAGATATTATACTTCATGGTCATGCCGTAAAAAGAAATATACTTAATGATCACAGAGGTTTGTAACAAAGGTATGACTATTTTTCACTTTAATTTCCAAGCAGACAACCTTTGTAATTCGAAATATTGTGCAAGTTTTATGATTTAAAATATGTTAAATGATTTATTTTAAAACTGAAAAAGAATAGATCCTTAGCATTTACTGACATCTCTATTAGGTATACATTTTAAATAATTCTTATCGGTACCAACTTTAATACTAATTTGAGTTGCGTTAGGTATACATCTTAAATAATTCTTATCGGTACCAACTTTAAATTTGAGTTGGGCATCCGCACTAAAGATTTTTGTACATGCCACATCTGTCATTTGTCACATCTTCTACGACTCTATTTGTATCTGCATTTGAAGAGAGGTTTTAATATACTCAACTCAAAAAGACGTCTAGTTCACCTTCCATGACATTCAGCCTTGCACACTCGAGGCACACTTCTGAGAGATATAAGCACAAACTCATTTCATCCATTCCATCGTCATTTCTGGAGGAAAACGTTCAATGCTGGCCAGGTAAATAATAGTCATATATCAGAAAAAAATTGTGTTGGTAACAAAAATATCAAAACTGGAGATAACAGTGAAAAAAACCCGGACCTTTGTATATGCCAACGGCGGTAAAGCTAGCCATATCAGCCGTATCTTTGACTCCTGAGTGAAATTAAGTCCGGTCATGCCGGATATAATTTTTCAGTAATCATCGCAAAAAAAAAATTCTGATAGTAGCTATCTATGGAGTATAAAGTCCAGCGATACGGATATTAACATGGAAACGTTAACTGATTGGAAATTGTATAACGGAGTCTCAAAATTTACTTCTTCCAGAATATATACATATATTAATATTATATTTTATCGATTTTGTAATGATAAATATCAATTAAAAATGCTTAAAAAAACAATCAGCACCAGGTACTCATTAAAAATATTTGTCAGTATAGCATTATAAATGCAAATTTGATCAAATATAATATTTAGAACAAAAGTTAAAAAAAAAAAACTATCGGTTAGGTAGGATTGCCTGAATGTTGATGAAAATGCGCTTACTAGTAGCGAAAAAGTGACAACTGTTTGAAAAATTCGTCAGTTCTCTTGGGTCTCAGGCAGCTTATTGGTTAGAGCAGTCACCTGGATTGCTAAAGGTCGCGGGTTCGAGAACCACTTCGGGAGGATAGTGGACTGGGGCTGAAGGATTTTTCAAGCATTTTTAATTAAAAATATATACATTGATATCTTTATAACCTAACCTAACCTAACTAGCGTCCTAGCTTAGTGCAGGGGATATTTATAAACTTTATATTGAAATATCTGTCGTATCTCTGATATGTCTCATTGAACAGCTTCATGATTTAGGTTTATTTTCTCTTAATCAATGTAACATTATCTATCTAGCGTCTACCTTGTTTAATATAGCAGTAGCCAATAAGTCTTCGTACGTGGATGATTCTATGCTAGGTGGGTTGACTGGTTCTGCAGCGTATCGCGCTAGTGCTGGAAGCGCTGCAGCTTCCTCCACCACCCGCGCTACGAGACGCTTTAGTTGCGCGTGCGCACCACTAGCGCCGCCCGACAGGCTGGGTGCAGCGGTCGACGGAGACGCATTACGAGATGGTTGGAGATCTGCAGAAAGAATATTTATTTCTTAAGATGTATAAACATATTTCGAATATCCTGGAGAATTTGTGTATTCAGAGTCTGGTTTCGATTGTACGCTAGCTTCTTAAAGTTTAATGGTTATCTAATTAATTCAGCATGTTAGCTATTGTTGAAAGATAGATAATACAATATTTGTTAGTATGTGTTAATCAATGAAACTTTTTGCTCTTAAAGCGCAAGAAGTTTTTAATAGTTCTTGTATTTTATCTTTTTTACTTCTTTATCTATATTTTATGGATTTTTCATTTATACACAGTATAAAACAAAGGTGGTTCTCGCTGTCTGTACGCTGAGATCTTATAAAATACTCAACGAATTTTAATGCGGTTTCCATCACTATAAGAGTGATTCAAGAGGAACATAATATGTAGATATTATATCCAGAGGCTTATTTTATTTAATTGCAACCACTTTCAATTTGACATTTGAAAGGTATTCACGAACTTCACGCTACAACTGTTAAATATGTGTTAGAGATTGCGACCGCGACGTTATTTTGAAAGATATTGAATGAACTTTATCGTTTTTCATTTAGTTCATTTTCTTTATCGTTTGACATTAATTGGAGTTATCGCACGCGAGTGTTTAATGGATATAATTGTGGAAATAATATTCTAAATTACTAAGTTTTTTATAATGTTCTTGATTAGTCAAACAATTATTCGTTCTGAAAGCGGTTGCGACTAAAATGTTATATAATTTCATAAATCGCTATATTTTTTGGATTGTCATAGATGATATATTAGACCATGAGAGCAATGCCGTTGGTGGAAAGCTAATCTATAAAAATAAAAGCGGAAAGTCACTCACTCACTCACTCATCACGAAATCTCAGAAACTACAAGTGCTAGGAGTTTAAAATTTTGCATGCGGTATCTTTTCAGGGCTAAGGTGCTCACTAAGACGGGATTTTACGAAATTCGACCCCTAAGGGAGTAACCCCTAAAGTAGGTGATGATTTTTTTATGGAATTTTCTCATTTCTGGACTTTAAGCTAGATCAGGTGGGCGAAGCCGCTAGTGATCTATATAAGCAAAAGTCTGAGGAAAGCATGTATATAAGTATACGATGACTAAAACATAGTTGCTATTTGTAATTTAGGTTGGCTCTGTTGAGAAATATGCAGATCAGATCAAATGCATCATTTAGATTTTATTACATAAACATTAAGGTTAAATATACAGTATTCCATTTAGTTTGCTTAGTACACTTGCGAGATTACACATCTTAGTAAACAGTAATGCAACAGGTGAGAACGCAGGATGTTAGATGTCGTCATTACGCAAGTATATATCATACCTTACACATGAGACTTGAAGGAAAACACATATTGTTAGTGTAGATAAAACAAAGGATTGAAGAAAAGGTATGGGAGCAAGAAGCTTATCAGTATGTTTTCCTTTTGCCTGAATTTTTTGAATACAGTAACACAAACAATGTTCCATATTGCTGAGCGGATCTTTTTAATACCAATTTTTTTTGTTATTTATCGGCATAGTATTTATATAATTTGTAATTTAGTGCAAACAGTTTGTATAATATTTTTCTAAATATATAAATAAGTAATAAAAAAATATATTTAAATATTAATGTTACGCTACGGCATAGTTGCAGGGGTTGTTCCGTATTCATCCTATGACGTCTCATCCTATGCATTATTTTTTCCTTACTCATCCTATTTTTGTTCTTCACTCAACCCACCACAATTCATTTTAATTAATTTTAATTTTGAATTCCTTACTCATCCTATCGGTCAATTCTTCTACAGCGTTATTAAAAACAAGGTTTACCGTTGGAGTAAATTAACGCTGAGACTGCAATAAGTATTTGTCAAAATTCATATTATTAAACAGAGACTTAGTAAAGGTTAACCTAGTACGAGGTACTACGGGATTGATTAATTTTTTTTCTAGAAGGAAGTAGGTTTGCTTATTTTGCGTATAATATGAATTTGGACTAATACTAAAATAGTAATTTTAGCGTAAATTTACTCTGACGCTTATCCTTGTTTATTAATGACACTACTAATGTTTACGTTCTCTTGTTTACTACTTGCGTATTGCCATTGCACTATCTACCTTAAGTTCAATATTATTAGTGCAATATCTTCCTCACACATCAATGGTGACAGATATATAATAATATTGGACTTCAGGTAGATGAATACAATGACAAAATGCAAATTGCATCGTACAATTGGCCTACTATTTTCTCAGGATATGTCCAGTTTTTATATGTTATGTCTGTTATATTCTGAGACGTCCCTGGAAGTTGTTAAGCAGCTTCCTGTGATTAAAGGCAGCGGCGGCCTTAGGGGGTGGCGAACGGGGCAATCGTCCGGGGCCTCGCTGTTCCGGGGCCTCGCGCAACAAGCCAAGCAAATTTAAAAATACATAAGTATATTTTTTTAACAATATTTTTTAAATTTAAAACTTTTTATTTTAACCCTTAATTATTTTTGCAGGTTATATATTATAACATAACAGTTAATTAAAATAAAGTTAACTAAATCATTCATTCTAAACATAATTGGATACCCCTTCGAACCACTTGAAGATTGGTTTTTTAATTGCATAACAATTTGTATAACTTAAGCATTTCTCCTCGAACATGACAAATACTTAACCCAAACAACCAGACCTACTTTCGAATCACATACTTTTCACGAAGGACAAAGGGCCTCGCAAAGACCTGCCACCCGGAGCTTCGCAATGGCTAAGGCCGCCGCTGATTACAGGTGTATTGATCATGTTGGTAAAGTTATGTATTTTAAAATGCAATTTTTATGTTAGCGTTTAAGTGACCTCAAAGAAGTTTTTATCGTGGTTAAAAAGAAGAAATAAATTAAGTAGAAGAAGAAGAAACATTTATTAACCTCTTTAAAGCACAAATAAGAGTACATTATTAGGAACATATAAGGCACTATAAAGACACAAAAGAAGCAGAAAAAGAAATTTGGTATTAGATATTGCATCCTGTTTTAAAGTTATTTTATAATGCAGGTATTCTTTTTATTATACTACATTACGGAAACGTAATGTCTTAATAATTAGTCATTAATTATATATGTATTATATCACTGGTCGTAGTGTAGGCAACTAATCGTTTATAATTATTGTAATTTATTTGATAGGTACAATCACTGCGGAGTCAGAGGTCGAATGGTCTTCTCGTTGTAGAAGTGCAAAGTTCGAGTATTATAATTTACAGTATTTATACTCATGTGTTTTAAAGATATCAAATAATCAAACATCTGTACATACTTTTTATCGGAATAAGCGTGTTTTCTTTGTTCATTCCTGCTATTTTCACGTAATATTCGCATCTCAAGAGAATCTTAACTAAGTACTTGTATTTTGCGACTCTACTACCTACCTACTACTCGAAGTATAATATTAATAGTTGAAGCGCTATTGACTTTTCATAATTACGCTAACAATCGATCGTTATAACAATTCTATTAAGAATTGCAAAAAAAAGTCAATCATAAAACGGTTAAAAAGAATAAGTTAAATTTTAGAATAATTATTTTAAATTTAAATAAGATAGTTTGTGAAATATTATTTTTAATTCTTAAGAATTTAGAATAATTTTTGACTCACTCCCTAATGAATGCGTTAACGTAAAACTCACCACACATATTCTGTACAATTTATAGTTTCTTTCGTAACTTGAAGTTTTTCTCGTGTTTGTTATAATTGTATATAAATTATTATTCGTTACAGAAGTAATGAATATAATCCAGTAAAAGGAAAATGTGAAAAAAGCTAGCTCGGACAAGTTATTACTATTCTATACCGTACTTAGTGAGGCATGTGTTAGTAGAGAGGAAAAAAATATTGTGGTTAAATAAAACCCGCGGAATGACCTCACGACGTTTGTGTGACCTCATCAGTTTTATTCCATTCTCAATGTATTGAGTAAAACTGTAAACATTTTGTTCTACAACCTAAACAAAGAGGTAATTTTCAATATGAATCCGATTTATCAGTCGCGAAGAGGAATTCAAAATTTCGTATCACAAGCTACATAATAGGGATGATGACTGGGTACAAAAAAATGCAATTCTATTTAGTCCGTCAGTCAGATAATAGAAAAATATTAGATACGTATTTTTTTTTTACTTCAATTTAACAAGAAATAGTTTAGATAACAGGCATTAAAGTTGAGGAGTGGGGGCTCGCTACGTCACAGTTGAGTAGAAAACGTACTCTAACGTGACGTCATGCGAAATTTCATCTCAATGTAACGCCGTAATTTTATGATTACGAAAAAAATAAAAAAATACGTGTTTAATATGTTTTAACACTCTACCTGACGGACAAACAAACAAAAATTATTCATCATCCCTATTGAGCACACCAAACTTATTTCACCTGAAACTCTGCTCAAACTTATCAGATATACTTATACATTCCTCCTTATTCATTCCTCTAATTATTTTAAGCTCTCAATGGTCCATCGCTAAGTGAGTCGTGTGTCATTTTGACTAACGCTAACCTAATTTTGACGTGTCACTGACGATTCCATAGGACGATACAATAAAAACATTGTTGACATACTTCTTAGTTACTAGATTAATAAAAAGTAAAAAAAAAAAATAGAACCGACATCAAACTTTAATAATAAGTGATAAATAATACTTATCTCAAAGTGACTTATACAAGAAAATGCTATTGAAGTCGCGCGGAGGTCTTCTTTGGGTTTATTAATTTGTAATATTTTCCAATAATTCTATACTCATATTATAAAGAGGAAAGATGTGATTGCTTGTTTACTTGCTTTGTATAGGGTCAGAAACTATTAGACTGATTTATAAAAGTCTTTTATCTACGAGAAGCTACATAATATAAGTTGGAGATGGGCTATAATTTACGCTGACGAAGTTGCGGGGAAACAGCTAGTCCGATAGAAATTGGTTCACAATTCAAGAAGTAATCGATTGACATACTTTCATAAAATAT